GTGTGGTGGGGATATATGAGAGAGATATTCTAGAGAAATAAATGAGAAGATCTGGCAACTGGATGGATAAGTGGGATGAGAGAGAAGAGTTAAGGATGCCACTAAGGTTGTGACTAGGCAGTGAAGTGGTGCAGAAGATAAAGCACTGGGCCTGGAGTCAGGAAGAATTGTGTTCAAATCTAGCCTCAGACGTGTACTACTAGTTGTATAACCATGGGCAAGTCACTTAACCAGTTTCTGACTCAGTTTTCTCAACTGTAAAATGGGGATAATAATAAACTTCCTGTGGTGGTTGTGAGAATCAATGGATATTTGTAAATTAAGACAGTGCCTGACACATAGTAGGCAGTTAATAAATGGTTATTCCCTTTCTCTTCCCTGCCTAGAAGGATGATGCTGCTGCTAGTAAGAGGGACACTTAGAAAAGGGGAAGATTGGGGAGAGAGGAGTTGATGAATTCTTTTTAAACATGTTGTGTTTGAGAGGCTTAATAGACATCCAGTTTGAGTAATCCAATGTGTAGTTGGTGACACAGGACTGGAATTCAGGAGAGAAATTAAGGTTCACGTAAAATAGCATCATGAAAACACTTCTCAGAGGAAAACAGAGGTGTCAGCATCTGAGAAGAAGGTGCTTACTCACCAGTGTTAAATGTTACAGACAGATCAAGAAGGGTAAGAATCGAAAGAAGGCCATTAAATACAGCAATCACATTGGTAACTTTGGAGAAGGAAATTTCTGTAAAATTTTGAGGCCAGAAGCAACACTGCAAAAGGTTTATAAGGTGTGAAAAGGAAGGTAAGTGAAGACATCGATTGTGGATGATTGTTTTTCATGGAGTTTAGCTGAGAAGGTAAGGAGAGATAGGGTGATAGCTAGCAGGGATGACAGGAAAAACTGAGTCGTTAAAGGATGCTTCCATCCCTAACATACATGAGAAAAGAGGGAAAGATTGAAGATCAGAGAGAGCAAGAATAGTAGTAGAGGAAAATGTGGAAAGGGTAGGATGAAGGATGAATGTGGAAGGGTTGACCTTGGCCAGGAAAAGGGTCACTTCGTCATCAGAGACTGTAGTGAAATATGATATAGTGGCAGATGATGTCAGAGGGATGTGGGAAGAGGAGAGGAGAAGAAAGAGCTTTCAGAAAATTTCTTCTGGATTCCTTTCTTTTGGATGAAGTATGAAATGAGATCCCCATCTGAGAGGTTTCAGAAGGGGTGCTGTAAGTGGCTTGAGTAAAGAGGATTTGGAACAGCCACTGAGGTGAAAAGGATAAATGATCAATTAGGGAGAAGTATAATTGCCTTGCTACAGTGAAGGCCTGGTTGCCAAATCAGATAAAAAAAAAATAATACGGTAGGCCCAATCAGCAGATTTATGACTTCTTCTAGTTCCATTCAGCAGCATATGCATAGGAGTGAATGAAGTGAATGGAGGGCAGAATCCAAGGCTGGAGTTAAGCAAGGCATGATCAGTTATGGGAAAAGGGATTCAAGAGAAAAGGATAGTGTAGAGTTGAACTGGGTTCACCCAAGGGGTTGAGATTAGGAAAAGAGGAAAGTATTGCAGGGTTAAAGTCACAATGAAGGTGACAGTGAGGACAAAGAAGAGGGTTAGAGCTCTTAAGACAGGAAGATGAAACAATAAAATATGTTCACATAAAAGAATTTGAGTTCACGGACACGAAAGTAGAGGACTAGAAGGCATTGACAAGATCAAGGGTATGATTATCTCTCCGTGTAGGTTGGGTGGGGCAGAGAAGTTGAATCATAGGATCTGAATAGATTGAATAATTAGGTAGTTATTTGAGTGAACATCAATGTGTGTATTGAAGTTTTCTAGACTGAGGACAGGAGTTAGGGAGGAGAGAAACACTGTGAGGCAGGACTAAACTCACCGAAGGAGAAACAAATGACTTAGGGGTCAATGGTTAACAATCACCATGACTGTGATTGGATGATAAATTTGGATTTCATTGAACCTCAAGGTTTCTGAATAAAAGTAGAAGGCGGCGTGCCTAGTAGAAGAAATGGGGAACAAGGAATATTATAACTCCTCCACTGTGCCTGGTGTGTAAGGGGTATGAGGGGGGAAAAAAAAAAGTACAGCCAGTGTTGGAAAGTGTGCTGGGGATCCAGTGACATCTGAAGGAAACCTAGATTCAACAACTCCCAGAAGATATAAAGATTGAGAAATGAATAGATTTAGAATCAAAATTGTTACTCATGGAGCCAAAGTTCTAACGGGCACAGCGGAAGAGGTGGGCAGGAAGGGACATCCATTGAGAATAGTAGGTAATGACAGTTCAGATTTGCCTCTCTGGGTCTAGCCTCTTGGCATGTGGTATTCTTGTACTCTGTGGGGTCTATCTCAGTAGGAAGGAGGAAATGCATCATTTTAGAATTTCATAATAATGAAAGAACATTTATATAATACCTACTTTGTACCAGGTACTATGCTAAGAGTTTTATATTATCTCATTTGATTCTCACAACCACTGTGGGAGGTAGGTGCTATTATTTGTCCCCATTTTATAGATGAGGAAACTGAGGCAAATAGAGGTTAAGTGACTTGCCCAGAGTCACCCAGCTAGCAAGTGTCTGAACTCATATCTTCCAGACTCCAGGTCCAGTACTCTATCCAGTGTCACCTAATTTTAACTCATATTATTATTAAATGTTACATATTTATAGATGTTCACCTATGCCTTCATTCACGTAACTGATAAAAATGCTGAATAGCACAAGATAAGGGAAAGACAAGGGGACCTTCCTTTTCTAAATTGATATGAAGTCATTAATGATTACTTTTAGGGGCAAGTCACCCAAGTAGATGAAAGACTATCAAATGCTTTGCAAAAGAAATCATATCCATGGCATTTCACTGATCTTAGTCCTATCCCAAAAAAAGTACATAGTACAAGTCAAGTAGTAGGACGTATTCTTGATGAAGATTGTATTGACTCCTTGTGATCATTTTTTTTAAAAGCTATTCACTAATCCTCCCTTTAATGATATATTTTAAAGTTTTGCTAGGAATAAAAATCCCTCATAAGACATTGTTTTCAGAAACCACTATTCATTTTTTCTTTTAAAGATTCAGGACATAATTTGCCCTTTTCTAATCCTGGAACACCTCTCCTTCCCCACCCCATACTCCACTTTCTTTCAAAATATGTTTTCTCAAAGATCACTGCCACCAATGCTAAGCAATCACACCACCAGCTTATTTTATTTTATTGATACCTCATCTTTTCACCAACCATTTCTAGATATACAGGACCCCCTTTGGACCCTTACTTATATAAAAGTAAAATCACCAGCTATTTTTAAATGGTGTAGGCTAAAAAAAAAAAACATAACATGACAAAAGCCTGTGTTGTGTGACATCTCCACAATGAGGGACTCACTCAAAAACTAATGGGAGGTATAGTCTAAACAGAATTTCCTCAATAAGTGAGGTTCTCTCAGCCACAAACATTATGAGAACATGTGTTGGAGGAGGTAGAGAGGGTCAGTGTATTAACAGACCTCTCCCTATCCCTTCTATAAGGGACCATTGTTTCTGCGAGTTGTTTTATTATTTCTATGAGTTGTTCTTTTATAATTCTGCAGAACATCTGGGACTTCAACCTATGATAGACATCCAGCTTTTTAAATTTTCTTCCTCTTCAGATTCTAAGGTTTGAAACTAGCTTCTGCAGAGTCATCTTTAAATGTTGGTTTTTACCACAGTCTATGTAGTTTTTTGAGAAAGGATAAATCTTACTCATCTATTTCTGCCACTTTGACTCTACCAGTATTGGTGATTTAGCCAACTGCCTGAATCTTCTTTAAGGAAGAATTGTGTAGATGATCACCATAGGTCAAAAGTTTCAGCAAGATCTCCTCTGTGGAACTTGGAAAAAGTAAGAGATGGGTTCACCCTAGAGATGAATCCCAAGAGTGAGGGCCTCTGCTCTGGTTTTTTTCAGCTTCCTAGAATATAATTCATCTGGGCTTAGTGACTTGAAATGACATAGGTTATCTAGGCCTTATATTGTGATTTATCTTGGACTTCAAGTCCCTATTAACCATCTTCGTTCTGTTCTTTCTAGTGTCTAAACAAACAAAAAAAACCAATTCTCTTTGACACAGAAAACAAATAAAATATAGATTTGAACAATCCTACCTTTCCTCCATCATCTATTATCACTCAAGGAGTGGTCCTTATCTTACCTTTGCTTCTTCCTCCCTCTACCCATTGTTGTACTGGAGAAAAGTCAACATTATATTTTCCATAATGTGTTGTGATACCATATGGCTGTGAATCCTGTGATGCTATGATTCACAGTCATATGGTATCAGAAGACTAAAAGTACAAATCATCCAAAGGCTGCAGCATATTATACATAATGACTTTGCTATAAGAAGTAACATAAAAGACATCAGTGAGGGAATGTATGACAGGAAAAGGAAACAAATCTTTTGTGTATGAATAAAAAATTGTTTAAGCACTGAGATTCCAGGGACTATATGAAACACTAGGGATAAAAATGTAAAGACTAATCAAATCTCTGGCCTTGTCTAGTTACAATTTAATAGAGGAACATAATAATAGTAGCCAGGGAAGGCTGGTTTTGACTAGGATACGGCAGGGATGGTGAGTGTAGCCATAGAGCAATAAATTGAATTCTTACCAGTCAGGAGCCCAGGGGTGAGAGCTGAAAAGCCCAGTTGGAGATGAAAAGTCATGGTAGGAAGAAGGCCAGAGGGTAGCAAGAATAAGGGACAACAGATAAACAGCCCAAATGCTACACTACTATCCTTACAATGTTAAAAGATCCATAGAAGACTTTCCATATATTTGGATATATCTTTATTGAAGACTCATGGAAACTCATAAATGACAAGAGTCTCAGAAGCTGGGAAAGTGCCAAAGGGTTCTATTTTGCAATCCAAAACACTCAAATGATAGATCAGAGTATCAAAATAAACAAAAAGATTTTATTGATCTCTTAGCTGAAGAGCACTGTATACATTCAAGTCTGAGTTGTCTGAAAAGAGAGAGTGAGAAAATCAATGATAAGTTTTGGCCAGGCTTGTTAGCAATGTTACACTACTATTCACTAATGTGCCCAACTAGGGATATCAAAATGTTCGAAACAAAAGTTGCTATGTGAAAGATAGCACTGCAAAAGCTTGGAGCCCATCTAATTTGACTCCACCATTTTGAGGATGAGGAAACTGAGGTCCACAGCCCAAGTGTTCCAAAATCAATAGCAATGAAGGAAACAGTGAAGTTAATCAATCAGCACCTCCATTCCCTTCATAAAGACTGACGCCTATACTATTGATTTCACACTCTAATACTTCACAAGTTAACATGGATGTTGAAGATGCTAAGAAAGAGAAGAATGGATTTACCATTCATCAACTACACAGTACTGGCTACTTAGAAATCAGCTGCAAACCTAAGTAAATATTCTGGTATTAAATGGTCACTTACTTGTTCAATTAGCACAGAGATGTCTTTAGGCTTCAGCAACAGTTAGCAATTTGTCTGAAGGCCCTAGGAAAGAAAAGGTTGGGGCACAATTTATAATTTAAAACAGAGAAAAAAGCAATGAAATTTGTGAAGGAGATAAAATTTCTCTTTGGTACCCTTCACTTTTCCCTTTATGGGGAATGGTGTCAAAGGAGAGTACTATACTTAGAGTCAGAAGAAACCTGGTTTCTAATTATTAATGCCGTGGATTTCCTGAACATTGGGATTTTGAATGTTAGTTCTAAATGGTACCTTAGAGATCATTTCATAGATGAGGGAAGGCAGATCCAGAGCAGTCTAGTGACCACTCAAAGGTCAGACAGCTATTAGCAAAAGAGCCATTTTTCTTTTTTGTTGTTGTGGTTAGGACATGATGTACAGGCAGACTGGGTACCAGCATATAAAAACTAACCTTGTTGTTCCATGGGATTTGGAGGAGTAGAATACATTCCATTTCTCTAAAACCATACCAGATGGCAAGGGCATAATTCTACCTTTTAAAGAAAGGCTGGCTATCTTGTTACTTCACGCTGCCTTATCTGCAGGAATAGTCATAAAAACTCAGCATTGTTTCTTACAGAATACCATATTTTAAAAACTCCAAAATATGGGGGAGGAAGGTAGGGCACATGTGTTTTAAACAAACTTTTTTTTTTTGAACAAGTGCCCCAACTTTTTCTTTTAAACAAACCACCACCTCAAGGACCAACATATAGACTTAAGAACGTCAAGCATCCTCCTTTTAAAGATGAGAAAACTGACACATGTGATTGCAATGTTCTCTTTCCGATGAGAGAGACTACTGTATAGGCTGGAATAATACCTAGATAAAAGCATTCATTCCTTAGCTTATATTCTGGCCACCACAGAATTAAACCTAATGGCTAAGTAATCTGTTTATTTTCTTAACTGAGCATATTTTGAGCATTTCTTTTGTATAGACTGAGCTGGCGTTGGGGGAGGAAGGAGGAATGGAAGATATAAGCTCTGCCCTCAAGGAATATAAAACCTACTTGAAAAAACACATATACAGATACACAAAGATACAAATACACTGGAGTATATTATATATAGATATATATCACACACACACATATATATATATATATATATATATATATATATACACACACATATACATATGTGCATGTATTTTTTATATACATTGAATGAACCCCTCTTTTTTTATCCTCTAAGCTGGTTTGTTTTAGCCTATACTTATGCTGATAGGCCTGGTGTTCTGAGGGGAGGAAGGAATGGGAAGAGGTATACTATACTAATACAATTTGCAACTACCTCTCAGGGTGCCAGGGTAACCCTGATATGTGTGTGTGTGTGTGTGTGTGTGTGTGTGTGTGTGTGTGTGTGTGTGTGGGCTGGGGTGGGGGGGAGAGTAAAGAATATACTCCTACTAGTTATCATTATAGCTCCTGAGCCCCCACTGGTGTGCTTCCCATTTACATGAAATCAGTCACCATGAGACCTTTAACTCAAACAGAAAACATTTATATACTAAATGACAAGTGAAAAGAATAATCATAACATTTGTTCAAAAAATAAAAAGCAAAAACAAGATCAGAGCACTGTCTACTCATAAACCTGGGTCACACTTTCCCATCAATGCACACAGTCCATGAAAGAGTGGGCACATATGTACAAAAACTTAGCAGAGAGTCACAAAAGTAAGGAAAACCTATCAGCCTGAGGCAATTCACAGCTCTGGATGGAGGTCTTATACCCTAGGAATAAATCTGCACCCACATGAAGCTACTTCTCCAATATATATTTATACATAAAACACCAATACACTTTGGTTCCTTACCACTCTACTACTGAGCAAAGCCACTCCTTTCCGGCTTCTGAGCAAATGGAGCAGTGACAAGCTCTTTTCATTCCCAGACCCCCTTAACAGGACGCTAAGAAAAAGCGTTGTGCTCTTTCAGTTACAAGCCAGTTACTTAAGCCAAAGAACAGCCATGCTCCTCAGATCTGCAAATGTCAGCATGTATTTGTCCAATGAGCTCCAAGCTGAGAAAAACAGACACTAAGTCTGTTATTTCCCTCCTCTCAAAATCAAAGAGCCCTGGACCACACAGGCACCTTCTCTCTCAGGCTGTAGATGACACGAGAGCAATAAGGCACCAAATGTTCCTCACAGAGTGGCAGGATTTAATTCTATTCCTACTTACCTTGGGCAGCTGCTTCAACCTTTATCTAGCCAGTCAACAAAGCAATACTTTTCTTCTAATCAGCATGTTCCCAGCAAAGCAACAAAGAATCAAAGAGCTCAGCTCAAAACCATCTGTCTTCTGTCCTTGGCTTCTTGTGACTCCTCCAGTGCTCAGCTAGCCCTCCCTACTACTCCTCTCTCTTCTTATAGCTTCTCCTGTGACTCTTAGATGCTTCAAAATTAGCGACTCCTTTTAGAGAGTGACATCTTTATAAAGTAAAATTTTTTAAAAGTTTCCCTGTTAAGTATGAACCCAATGGTCTCCCAAAGCTCCCAAATGGTTATTTGAGCTATGATTTTGTCAGTTGTGACATTTAAAAATCTAAAAATGGTCACATGCACATGAGCTAATGGACAATACACTGAAGCCATCATTACCTCACTCATTGTTTGACCTTCAAATAAAGCCTTATAGTACATTCATCTGAAGGACAGTTCTCCATCTAGTCCTCAGAACTGTCTATGTTTCTCCTAAAAATTTTGAGAGATTTTATTCCACAAGTTTTTAGCAAATTGCTCTCATTTGAAAGGGGCAGCATTATATATGTGTGTATAATATACGTGTGTGTGTGTGTGTGTGTATATATGCGCTCACACACACATATGTATGCATATACACACAAACATTTACAATATGTGTGTGTGTATATATGTATATATATATATATATATATATATATATATACATATATACACACACACACACACATTTATATATACGCACAATGTCTTCACACACCCTCCATTTTCTCAGACTACATTTTATATATACATAGTCTCCCCAGTTAGACTGTAAGCTCCTCAAGGGCAAAGACTTATTTTTTGCTTTGTCTCTATAGCACTTAGCACAGTGTCAAACATAATAAGCATTTAATAAATGCTTTTTGTTTGACTGAGTCTTAACCAGTGGGTATCATGTTGCCTTTAAAGATTTTAAGGAGAATATTTGAAGGCTTGGTGATGCTAGGGACAGAAACAAATGTCTAAGGACATTTACACTGGCTGCTCTGCAAAGTAGTAACATTTTTCCTAGACATCTACTACTACATTAAGTTCAACATTGTGTGGGGCAGATAACATTATTTTTAAAAGTTTGCCACAGACTGTGAGCCCTTCCACTTAAGATTTAGCCTGAATCAAAGAAAATTAGACTATAGCTGCCTACCCACATGCAGCTAGTGTATACCATGTCAGTGCCAAACTGTTTAATTTAGCCAATATAATTATCCATCTGGCTTCACTGTAAAATCAATGTTACTATGATTCTGATTAGAGCAAAAAAGCAACAGAAAACTAAATTTGAGGGTTCTGATGCAATATGATCTGAGTATTTTTAAATCAAAGTCTCCGGTTGTTAAGTTCAAAGTTGACTTTTCTCCTTTTTCCAGCAACCTCAAAGGCTCCCTCTTTACTGGCTCTTCCTTTTTGCCTTCAAATATATTCCAATCTGCCATCCTTTCAAAAAAAATTTAATTAATTACATTTCATGCTATCATCCTATTTCTCACTTTCTTGAAATCTGGAAGCAAAAATGACAGACTGATCTTGAAGTTTCATATCCTCAAAGGGATCTCAGAGGTCATCTGGTATAACCCAACTCAATTTAATAAATATTCATTAAAGGCCTTCTAAGGCACCCAGGATGCAAAGACAAAATAGCCTCTGCCTTTAAGGAACTTATACTTTATTGGGAGGATAACATATGTACCCAAACAAGTTAAAAAAAAAAAAGCTTAAAGGCAGAGAAAGAGATGGGGAGAGAAGGAGCTAATATCTATGAGAGTTCAGGAAGGCTTCACGGAGAATGACTTTTTAAAGGCAGAGACGAGGAAGGAGTACATTCTAGACATAAGGGAAAGTAGCTTGTACAAGGTTACGTAGGCAAGAGATCAAAGGTTGCGACTAGGGAAAAATTAGTGGTCCATTTGGATGCAACTTAGCAGGTCTCAAAGTGATTAATGGGAAATAAAGCTATAAAAGGTAAATTTGGAGCTAGATTGTAGGTGTTCTTAAATGACAGACTAAGGAGTTATTTCATCTGAGAAGCAAGAGCGAGGGACTGAGCAGGGACATGACATAGTCACTCTGTATGTTAGAAGCATCACTCTGGCAATCGTAGGAAAAGATTAGAGTGGAAAGAAGCCGAGGGCAAGGAGACCACTTAGGAGGACATTTCAATAGCCCAAGTAAATATGATGAAGGTATCAATCTGGGTGGTAGCCATATGAATGGAAAGCAGAGAAGAGATGCTGTTGAGGTAGAATAACACAACCGGGCAATTAACTGGATTCAGGGATGAGAGAGAAAGAAGAGTCAAAGAAAACCAACTTCCTGTACCAAAAATATCAGAGGTCCCTCTAGCTCTAAATCTCACGATCCTATCAACCTATTTTTTATCTTTATTATGAACAGTGGCTCATCAATCCCCATCTTATCTTCCCAGTCTATTAACCTGTTCTGGTTTCACTTGTCTCCCCAACTAAGCCAGAATAGCATGGTCACCCTTTGCACTCACTCAAGATTCTAAAGTTAAACTACCAATGTTGGTGCCTGCAGCATGTTAGCTTTGAGGAAAGGGGGAAACTCAAGAGACTGGGAAACCATCATTAAGAAGGTTACTGTCAGAGATGGGTGACAAGAGGAAACCACTAGCTAAAAGTTTCCCATTTTAATTTTTTTTTTTTGGTTAACTAGGTGCTAAATTCAGTGAGTGCTATCAGTACCTTCTAAATTTGCAGAATGTCCTTGTTGCTACCTAGTGAGAACTATATACTTATATACATGCTAGAACATT